AATGCGTTTTTGAAATGCCGACGATTCTCGGTACGAAATTTCAATTTAAAACGATTATAAAAAAAAGAAAAAGAAAAAAAAAACGATTATATTAAGCTCGACTTTTTTTTCTTTTTTTTTACCAAATTATTACTTATAATGAAACTTGTGTTAGATTTGCGATAATTTCTGTACGGGCGAACGGTTTTATCCATATATCACCAAATAAAATTAAAAAAAAAAAAAATCGAAAATTTTACTACACCTACATAACTAGAAAAGGCTAATGAGAGTATTCTGTGAGCATTTCATGTTTCTACTACTATTTTTCGCCAAATCACGACAAAAAAAAAAAAAAAAAACAGAATAAAAATAAAATAAAACCGTTAATACTTCTTATTTTTTCCCAATTATAAAGAGAACTATACGGAAAATCAGAAAAAAAAAAACGAAAAGACTTCCTCAATACACCATATTGAACAAAAAGCTCACTTTTCAATTTCCTATTAAGGAAAATAAAGTTTTGGTAGAAAAGTTGGTCACAGACACAGTTCGTTGTTCGCACCGTTGTTAAACTAGTGCATTTCTCGCCGATACTAAGAATCTTAAAAGCGCATCGTAGTAAAAATCGTAAAAAAAAAAAAAAAAATCAATTTCTAATGATAATATTTTCTATTACTAATAAATCTTTATTTTCCCTGTAATTTATTACAAAAACAAAAAAAAAAATTCGATTCTAATACAAATAACGCGTTTTAAAAATATCCGCCATTCCCCGGTCGTTAACCGTCCAAACTTTGTGCCGATCGTGCGAAAACAATGTAATTACTATGTGAAATAATATTATCAACAAAACAACAAAAAAAAAACAACGTTTGCTCGGGATTTCTACTGAGAGTTCGAAATTAATCCCGCGCACGGTGTAATGTCGTGTTTACGGTACAATGCCGAGAGCAATAGTTGTCGGTATAAATAGCGTTTTTGTCCCAGGAAGCAGTCGCACACGATATTTCTAATTATGATGTTTTTTCTTAGCGAAACGCGCCGATAACAGTGTTACTGTTACATAAGCTATCTAGGAAAACGTTTTAAAAACGACGACAAACAACATTAGCGGTTAACGTACAAACTACACGATAGTTAGGTATTTAAAAAGAAAACGAAATTTGTAATGTTATTGAACGTTTAATTATTTAAAAATCGTTTGATTTTTCATCGATGACGATATAATAATACATGATATTTTTTTTATTATCGAACTCTTATCCGTTTTCCAAACGTTATACACACAAAACCGAAATTCCCAAACGTGTTTGAAAACGAAACGCGATAGTTTTTCAAAATTTCAACAACTAAAAACGGGATAGTTAATTTGATTTAAATTTTGATAGTTAACTAATTGTAGTTTACTAATTATAAGCTTACTTTTAGTTCGGTTTTTGTCGTATGAATTCGGCTTTTAGAATAGTAAATTTGTATAAATGCCTTGCAATTAATGTCAAAGCAATAGTTTTTTTTTACGGACTCTTTTAGTTTACTCAGAATGTGTTTATTCAAATCAACTGCGTTCAATCGAGCTAAATATTTGCATTCACCCTACCTACCTTTGGTAAAACAAAAACACCGGTGGGCTCTAGAGTCAAAGAGCTCCATGACTACTGTATAATTTATTCCCACCTATTTTCTACCCAAATTATGGAAATATCAGTAATAACACAATTCCATATTATCGTATACTATGTTATACAAGTCTACAATCATACCACTACTCACCCCCCTCCCTCAAAAAAGGCACACAAAATTTAAAAATTTGACCACACAAATGCTAGGTATGAGAGTTGATTATTTAAAATCCCGAAAGACACATGCTCGATACGAATGTCGAGAACTTCGTTCCACTAGGCTTCATTTGGAGGTCTGCAGGGATGTTCGAAGCTAAAAAAATACCCCCTCATTCCCGCAGCGATACGGCGGAATCCACATTGTAATATCCAAACCAAACCTTTATTATTTCGATCCACCAACAAAACAATCGCGATTCCCGAGTTTGAGCTCGTTTCGGTCAAAAGAGAGTCGCTGAAAATTTCCGTAATTAGCGGTAAGAAGATTAGGCAATATTAGAATCCGGACGTTTTTCGCGGGTCATTAAAATTCAAAGTACGTTTTTTTCAACATGTAATAGGACATAGGTATTATTATAAAATCGAAAGTGATATTGAGAACGTCATAATTTGTTTGTTATTTATTTATTATCAAAGCCGGACAACTAGTTACAGATAGTCACAATAAATTACTTTTAGTTTTCTTGTGACCTGTAACTTAACGAGTTACATTTTATTCGAATCAAAAAAGTTATGAGTTAGTTTTCATTATTTTGTCACCGATATCTTGGCAACTCAAAAATTTTTTTCCTGAGGGTATCATCCGCATGTAACCTATATATATGTATATAAAAAAAAAAAATGCGATAACATTTTGTTAACATGGAAAATCCGTTTTCAGCATCGATTCATGGAGGTCATCTTATCCGCTGAAAAATTAAAGGCCGACTCTGAGGGAAATAACTGTCACTTACTCGGTTACTAAAGCCGAGTGACTTGCCCGGTTTTGTTTATTGTTTAAACATCGAGAACATACTTAACGCTGCGATTATTCGAGTCGATGTGAAATAAACAAGAAATCGCGAATTCCAAAACGCGTCGTATACGAGTCGGGAGTTTTTTCGTTTTTTTATCCCCCCCGGTTGTCCGCCGGTGACCCCCGGCGTGCAACAGCGCGCGGCGTACAATTGTCCGCGGATTTTCGCCCTCGCAGTGTTGTCGCGGTATACCGCGGCGTATTCGATTTTTGCCCGACACGTCCGCGCTGCCCAGGCAAACGCGCGGCGGCGACGACGATTAACGACGACACTGCGTAAGGCGCGTAAGGCGTGCGGTTGACATTGCACCCGGGGGGGGTTGGGTCGACTGGCCGCGAAACGCGCGTAAGTGGACCCGCGCGCACGACAATCGGACGGCCGCGGCTCATCGATATCACCGTCGTCGACATTTCCGCGCCGCAGGACGGCAGGTTTTCGCGCACGCGTCGCCCGTTCGCCGAACGCGCCGTGGTAATCCCGTACGCCATTCGCTCGCCGCGCCGGTTTCGCAAATCGCGTTAATCGTTCCGACTGCGTTCCGCGTTCTCCGCGGCAAAGTGACCGCGCGGATCTGCGCAATGGTCTCGCGTGCCGCGCGCAATGCCCGGCGAACCGGTCGCGCCGGTTGTACGCCTCGAATAAATCGTCTCCGCGCGCTCCGGTCGGTCGCCCCGAACGGCGGACGGCAACGGGTACTGCAGGCGTTAACGCCGCCCAGCATAACGCGTACCGCCGTACACGTACACACGCGCGCGCGTGTTACCGCGATTCCGATTTTATTGAACTGCGGCGTGCACAGCGTATAAAAATAATAAACGATCGTGTTATCGATTGAAAAAGAAAAACTTGCGAAATTTTTTGCGATTTTTTCTTTTTTTTTTGTAAACCGAAACGCTCGCAATACTTTTTGTTACACCGCGTTTGTTCGTTTTCGACGGTCGACGTCTCCGGATTCGGACGGTCCGCACTCCGCGGTGGCGCGTAGTAATAATTTATCGCGCCGAAACAATGGGGTGGGGGGAGGGGGCAAGCACCGCGATAATCTGACGCGTATTTACAAGACCGTATCCGAATTCTGCCCGAACGGAAACGTGACCGAGTTGGTTTCGCGAGGTTCCCGAAAACGCAACACGCTCGTTAATCCGTTTCCGTATCAGCTACAATCGCGGTACCTACCCTATAAATAATCGCGTGATCGAGCGTAATTAAGTACCAATAGAATTCCGATTCGGTCGGTTTTTCGTCGTTGACACGGAACAAACGTCATACGTGCCAAATTTACGATTTTGATGTTTTGGTTTTCCTCCCGGATACGGGGAAAAAATAAGCAATATTATGATAAAATCTCTTTTGTGAGGTATTATGGGCACCCGTTTGGGGAAGGCAAGATGGGTCATGTGTCCTCCCCCCCCTCTTCTTTGGTACAAATATATTAAATTTCACAAAAAAATCGTTTTTCTCGAACATTCGACACACACGTACGATGCACAGTCTAATTGGCGATTATTGATTCTCGCGATGGACCTAAACTATATTTTACACGTCTTGGTTTATTATATCCTCGTATTAGTCTTTAAATTCATACCCGGTGATCTGGTTCTTAGTTGCCTATTCCTTAAAAATTACTTTATGATTATAGGTGTCCGCAGACGTTTATTTCAGGACAAGGAACAATAGAAACGCCCACGGTTTTTCCGTATTAACGGGAAACATTTTCGTTTCCCTCGATGAGGTTAAATATTTCTCGAGTTGTCAGTAACAAACAAGGCTTAGGACTTTTGCGTGTTTACATATATATACATAACGATATTAATAACGTACGAGGTTAAAAATATGTAAAACGATAGAGCACTGCAGTTTATCACGTTCCACGGCGACGGAAACTCTATGACTGATACGTGTTGAACTATGTTAGTTATGTTTAATATTTGACTTTTAGCTCAACAGCTGAACTTAATCGCAATTCACTATTAAAAGTTCTATTTTCCATACGCCGTACGGTATCGGCTGCTGCTTTGTCGGCAATCGCTTTCAAAGGATTTTTTTCTAATTCAATATAGTACGTTATACACCTGTTAGTTCGTTCGGCCGTCATCGGCGGCATCAATAAGAGCGGCGTCGTCTTTGCTAAAAAACTGGTTTTATTATCTACTGTTATCGGACCCACAGTCATTTGTTTTGTGAGAAGGCGCTCGCATCGCAAAGAAACCAATAAAACGAACTCTTTTAGCACCGTTTCGAATAATAAACAACGGACAACGTGTTTTTCGACGGATACAGTGAATCGGAACTGCGACTGAGCAATGTGGAATTAATGTTGGACAGCGGAGCGGAATACACGAGGGAGCTCGTTGAACTTACGGATTTTGCGATTGACTGTGGAATGTCTGCAAGAGGCGATATTAGCAGTCAACAGTACGACGAAACAAATGATATTGCAGCCGCATCGGAAAAGGACAGGAATATGAATTCATCAAAGCTGAGTGGCTCTGGTGACAGTATTAATGAGGTGTCGGATTGTCACAATTTTGCGCAGACATAACAAAAAAACTATAACGAAACCTCGTAATCCCGTATGGTTTAATAAAAAAATTGAAATATACGGGTAAATAGTGCGTATCGAAAAAACGGTCGACAAATGAACGATACACATACATTTTTGTTAATTTATCCGAGTTTACCGTGTGCAAAAAAGGGAAACTACATAATGTTATGATAATCTTATGCATACGATAAAGAGGTCGTTTCGGCCGTCGAGCATTTAGTTTTCGCATAATTTATTGGCCCCATCAAATAAATATAGGTTGTTCTAAATGCAGGTAACTATATTAGTATTATATACCGTGTCTGTTGTGTAGCATAGGCGCACTTGTTTTTTTTGTGCGTTTAAAAAAAAAAAAATAAAAAAAATAGCAGTAATGAAAACAATTAAAACGCTTATTTGAAACAATGGGAGAGGGGAAATTAAAACCATAATACCTAATTAGCTAATGATAATATTGTGGTTCCGTTGACCGGTATAGTAATAAATTAAGAGAGCGCGTACAAATATACCTACGAATGAAAATAATTTCACGAAAGATTTAAAATTCAAACAATTTACATAATATATTTATAGCCTGTTGGCAAGCTAACGTTTTATTCATAAGCTATACAGAATAATACTAAGTACCTACTTACCTAATAATTATAAATTGTTTTCTTCCGCATAGGTACCTACATCTCTACAGGTACTCCTCTGCTCTAACTTATAATTACGTTTCAAGAACCTCAAGCGACCAACACAACTTCCTTTCATCTGGTCATTGTATCTCAAATACGTATATTCTACCCAATAGATATATTGTTCCATTTTATCCGTGGTCTTCTTTTTCGATCAACGCTTTCTAGGTCTCCCCTCTGGCATTTTACCTGTTGATACCTATCCGTTTTACATAGCGGCTGGTATAATTTTTGTGGAATAGAAATGAATTGATAACATAAATACATCTTTCGTTGATGACTAATAATGTAATCATAAATCAGTGACGTACCTGAAAATGTGAAAAGTGCTCCTCCCACCTCATGGTCCCTAATACGACGTGTGCATCGATAAATTATTGATTAAATAGTATAAAAATGATTTATTTTATAAATTTACATATATTATTTATGTATAAATTAAAACACTTGTACTGTCTGATTGCCGTATTTATAAATAATATTTTTGTAGTCGTTACATGACTTTTTTTTAAAGAATTTGTAAAATATATTTCACCTCTCCCTCCCATTAGAAGGCTTATTTAGAAGTACTTGTGGGTGATACCCGTTTCCGCCAAAATAATATTGGCCGTTTCCGCCAAATATAGTTTGAGAATCAATGATGTTAATATATATACAGCTATAGATAAAAAGATAGATTCATAAAAAAAAAAGTCCAATGAAATAATTAGTAAGTACATTTTTTTCAAAACTATTTCTTTTAGTTTTATTGTATTTTAATTTTTAGCTATAATGTAAAGCAGTGATTTTTTTTTAAAAAAATCCTACAATTTAACTGTATTACCATAACTTTATTGTACATAATTAAATATATGGTTCCCAAACTATATTTGGTGAAAACGTCTTTCCACTAAAATACAATTTGGCGGGAACGGTAATCGTGCCTTTTCGCTTTTGGTAGAAAAGGGCTATGGGTAAATCAGGGAACCGGGTTTTTGACGGATAAGGGCCAAGCTGGTATTTGTGACTCGGCCACTCGGAGCAAAATCATGTAAGTGGCCCTTTTTTGATATTCGTAACTGTATTTAGCTTAAGTCACCTTGGAGCTTGGAGCACCTTGAGCCTTTGCGGGAATGGGTAAATAATGATCTAGAAACTCTCTCTCTGAATGGGTCTGTCCATCATGGACTTAAATAAAGTCTTACAATATAGCCCAATCGGCTTTCAGTCTGAAATAAAGACTAATATTATTTAAAGTAATTTAGGGTAAGGCTGGCGATGGCTCAGGGAAGGCTAAGCACTACTAAGCCCCGGCACTATTTTCGCCCGCATTGTCTGTGGAACGATATTTAGATACGAAAAAAGCAGATTTTCATCGGTAATTCGAAATTCGTGGTCAATATTATATTAAACGAAATAACGTTCGAATCACCGAGTGTCCGGTGTTTCAACCGTCGACCGTTATAAACGCGTTAACGTAAATACAATTTAAGACGGAATTAAGACTAGATTTTGTTTTAACGGTAACATAGCGTGCCTACGTTAGAGCAACTCGGAATATTGTCGCGACGCGTTGGCGGCCGGTTCGCCTTGGATTCGACTTAGAGTGATAATATGTCTACCGGGCGCACCGGAACGCGTTATTTTTCTTCGAATCGCCGCCGAAGATAATGTGAATATTGAAAAAAAAAAAAAAACAACGAAATAAACGCCGTAAACAGTACTTAGGACGCAAGCATTAATGTGAGTACGCGCCTATAAAAATATATACTAGTGTGTCGCGCATTAACGGCCGTCACGACGATAAAAAATATAATAAAACGTAGTATAAGACATTCCGTAATAGTGTTGTTCTTGACGGAGCAAAATCGATGATTTGTTCGTCCGCAGTGGCGCTGTAAACTTTTAACGGTCGTAATACTGGTTGCGGACACTCGATGTACAAGCGCGTTCGGTAACGGACTTCCGCGGGTTCTCGTCTGGGCGCGCATGGATATCGTTATAGTGTTTGTGTATCTACCGATAGAGAGAGAGAGAGAGAGAGTGTGAGAGAGAAATACCCGCCGTAATAATAATAAGTGATTATACGACGGCGGGCGCGAGATTTTCGATTTTTTTTTTTTTTTTTTTAATAAACACAATAATAGAGGTACCTCTGCGCGTATAATATTATTATAGGCACCGTTGTACAATACGCGCGGACTTGCGGTGCCCGAACGTGTTTTACGACGATGACTCGGCACGTTTTTTTTAAAATCGTTAATAGCGCGGGTACCTGCAGCCCGCCCGATGACCCGCCCGTACGGTACAGTACCTCACACGACAAACAAACAAACAAACAGCGCGCGGCGGTCGAACGGGGTACACGCGCCCGTACCGTTTGATTGGAGTATTCATCCAATATACAATATAACGATATTGTAAACGTTTTAATAATATTATCGTGTTACATAAATCAACTTGCCGCGTAAAGCCGAACTGTCTTTGCGAAACGCGCAGGCACACCGTACGTAACGCACGCACTGTACGCACGCAAGCGCACGTTGTTGTTACGCTTGTAGGGTTTTGAAACGCGAGACGTTCGATAAAAAGTGTGCACGAAAAAAAAAAAACGGACATTAAAATGTCGGTTAAAAAAAAAAAAACAAAAACCACAAACGCACAGTGGAATTCCATCGCCGTAGCCGAATTTCGCGGCTAGTTGACTTGATACAGTTTTATGTTTTTTTTTTTTTTTCTAATTTTTATAACGATAATGATTTGAACAAAAAGTCTGTTACACCAACAAAACGGCAAAATTTACATCTAAATTCAACCAAAATGTTATCTTTTCAATTCACAAATGAAAAAAAAAATATATAAATATCCCCGAATCTCGAGTTTGAGCTTATTTGATCCAGTTGGAGCCGCTAGAAGTGTCTGAAAAAATATTTATATATTCCTATAATATAAATAATAAACAACATACGATACAACTGTCTCTATTTCCGGTGACAATTTGATGAAAAATAATTCATACCGTTGATTTTATCAACACGTATAGTCTACAAATAAAAACTAAAAAATGTCGACAATTTCGAATGCCATAGAAATAGAAGAGCAGTGAGCCGATAATATTTCTTTTTTTCGATACCCGAATATTGCGATATTTGCTAGGTACCGTCATGAAACCTATACCACTAATCTGATAATTGAACCACGAATTGATATTGAAATTAATCAATACTATTATATCGGTCAACAACCCGATTTTCAAACACTTTTTTCATATCTCAGAGGTGTTATAAAACTCAGGGTTGTTAAAAAAAAAAAAAAAAAAAAGTTTTTGTTCTTTTTAAACATTAAATTTTTAGTGTAATTATTATTAATCATAATTATTTAAAAACAAAATAGTAATTGAAAATAAAATGTTACTTCTCTATCCAAAAGAAACAAAATTAAGAACTGTTTGTTTTCATTTATATTTTACGATTGAACATGAATTATATAAATTATATTATTTTTATTCTTCAGAGCAAATTGGTCATTTTAATTAAATGTTAAACGTTTCAAACACAAAGTTGACTTGTACACAATTTTTTTTAACAATTGCTTTAAACACTACACAACCCTGCATTTATTAATAGGCGTTTTTTCTCTAAAATATCGGGTCAAATATCGGTTTTGAAAGAAATCCCAATACTCGACATACGATATCGTCTTATGCTGACACCGACCACTAATAGTCCGTCGATAATAATCGTACGCCAGGCGTATGGAAAGGACAAACATAAAACGATAATAATAATGAATATTCATTGTAGATTAGTGTATTTTTTTCCGAGGTAATTTCGTGGTTTGTCATAACCATTTTTCAGTTAAACACGTTATATTTTTACGGTGAAAACTATATTATAATTATTTTTGTATATATATGGCAAATATTAAAAATGCAAATACTGTGTTGGTTCGACCGCCCAAGGATATTTCTATTAATAATTTCCATTAATAATTACCTCACGTCAATGTATTCCATGAAAATAATAATTATAATGTTATGTCACCTTGTGCAATAATGCGGTTTTTAATGTCAAAGAAAATCAAAAATTAAAGTATCGATTTATTTTTAACAAATTAACTATTAAGTTGTGTGCGAAATTCACACATTATTAAAACGCATGATAATAAAACATTTTAAACTGCTATTGTTGATTGCTACGATCTTGTCAAACAGGGAGACGGGAGACTTTTTTTTTTAACTAGAGGCCTTGGACACAGACATTTATAATAGTCAAATCACGACACGCGGGTTTTCCTGCAACGTATTTGGTTGTAATTTTTAAAGCTATATGGGAATCTGAA